ATGGAAAATATTTGTGTGTATTTCAAAAGCTTTTAAGAAATATCACACCCTTGAGAATAGTTGAGCTAATTCAGGGTTACCTTTAAGACTCATTTCCCATACTGAGAGGCGGACGGGTGGAAAAGGGAAGACCTGAGATAAAACCCAGTTTACGGCTAGAGGAATTCCCAGGATATTATTTTTAAATGCCACAGTGCACTGTTGCTAGTAATATTTCCACCTCAGTAAACTTTACGGATCACTGCCCTCCCCCAACTGTGGAGCTTTTCCTTCAACTGCTTGGCAGAGGCAGGAACTTCTACAGAGTTGTGAAGCAAGCGGAGAATCAGAAAACTTCTTTGCCCGAAGGACCCCAGGATGGAAGCTTTCCTTGGAACTCTGACATTCGTAGGAGAAACACCCCTTTGGGCCATATCCCACAGCGCCTTGATCTGCTCTTTCTTGCCTCACTCTTTCAGCCTCTTCTCTCTTCCCTGCTCCCATCTGCAAAGCCAGCAACTGATAAAGTTTAAAAGCAAATAACGTTTTGAACCCCCCACCCTAACACGTCAAAATTTACTGCAAGCAAGCATGCCAAGGTACAGTTCTGTCTGAGAGCAGAAACTGCTTCCCCCGTGGAAAGCTTTCAGGGGCAGGGGGAGAAATGTTATGTGGAAAGAAGTGAAAAAGACCAAGAGGTTTGAAGAAAAACCCTCCTGTGCTCAAATGCAAGGTCAATACAGCACCACCTATGGCTATTTTGTCTACTGGAACTGAACAGAGATCAGCATCAACCGAGTGTGGTGAACTCTGAACAGTATTCTTGTACTACAGGAAGTGGCGCGCATATACAAAAATGTGTTCATGCAATCCTGACCCTGCTAGTTTGTTTATTTACATCCCCTTTTCTCACCTAGACTCAAGGCAGATGCATTTAAACACGACATGATTAAACAGCTGGAGTATACTTAAAGCAACAGGCAGCAAAGCACTAGAAATAGGCCACGGTCCCGATCCCTTTCCCAATTATGCAACTCTCTGAGCCACAACGTCACAGTCCTCTATTACCTGCGCAGAAAAGAGGTTGCGTCACAGTGTTCAAGCAAGAAGGCGCTTACAAAGCCATCAGTGGCCTTGGGCCCAAATACTTGAAGGGCTGCCCCTTCCACTGTACCATCCTATGACAGTTTCGCTCACCCAAGCAGCACGTTCTAAAGGTGCCCCCCTAGAAATGGGCAAGACTGGTAGCTGCCCGCTCATGTGGGTTCCCAGTGGTCGCTCCCATCTTGTGGAATGGCCTCTGCCCCAGGAGATCAGGAAAGCCCCTGCACTCCTGTCATTCTGCAGAATGTACAAAATCGAAATGCTCAGGAGGGGATCTTTTTTTTAAAAAAACCACCACAATCATTTTATTTGTATCAGAATGGAACAGCCAAGGAGTGAACTTTATAATGCAACAGGACTGAAGTCCACTGCAGTGATCCTTGTAGGCATCATCTTGATTTTACTGCACTGCTCTATACCTTGTAACACACTCTGTTTTGCATCCCACAGTCTGCCTTGAGACTCAGCAAGAAAGAAAGACTGTATGAATTAAGCAAGCAAACAAATCTAGTCCAACGCCCCTGCAGGAACACGCGGGTGTGGAATCCCTGGCCGATAGCCACCTAGCCTCTGCCTTAGAGCCCTCCAGGGAAGGAGAGTGTGGCACCTTTCAGGAAGGGCTGATCCACTCATGAACAGCTCTTCCTATTATGAAGTTTGCAGCTCAGAGATGGAACTCATGCTTTGCATGAGAAAGACCCCAGAGAGCCATCAAGGGTCAGATGCAGCCAGAGGGCCCAAGGACCTACCTCCGCAGAAGGCAGCTTCCTCCTTCTGGACAGGGGAAATGGATAGGAGTTCTGGAGCTTACCTCCTCGCAAAGGGGCAGGTATCTGGAGGCTAACCCCGTAGAAGGATGCCACAGCAAACCCTCCTCCATTGTCCAAGCTGTAGTACCAGAATAGGGGGATTCCCAAGTGTTTCTCTTTGTTTGTTTGTTTTTTTGGGGGGAGGGAAAAAAGGAACAGAATGATTATGGCAGGATTTAGCTTAAAAAGCCATTTGCTTTAGTCACTGCACATGGCACCCACCAGCAGGTTATACCTGGCTGGAGACACCCTTGGTCCAAAGGGAGAATGTGAAGTTATGACTGTTATGAATGTTAGGTTAGAGTGACACTGGTCTAGGGGCACCACCACCTGAAGAGCCTTTGAGAAGTTGGCAAACACAGAAAGTCATGACTGCTTAGTTAAGTTCTCCCTAGTTGTATATCAACTCAGTGGTGCCACGCCACATGTTTTGGCCTTGAAAAACAAAAACGGGGGGGGGGGGGGGGGAAAGGAAAGGACTTACAAGAAAGCTCAGGACGGATCAAAACGGAGTGATTGTTTCATCAGAATTGTTTGATCAAAATTGAGTGACTGTTTGCTTTCCTCAAGCAGGCCCAAAGCATCACCATGGAAGACTTCAAGTCGACTTCAAGTGGTAAAAGTTTACAAGGTGACAAGCACACGCTATTACGAAGCAGTTTCCCAATTTATAATACACGCAAGCGTGCAGTTTCAGGCATTTCATTTGCTGACAACGTTCCATTTCCAAGAAGTCTCCAACATTATGTTTGGGTGCCTCCAGCAGCTGTTTGCCCAGGCATGGGCCCTGGGCAACAGAACCACTGTTTCCACATGTGCCAAGCCTGCCAGAAGCTCCCAACAAGTCTGCTTTACTTTCCATCCTGCACTTCTGCATTTGGTGTGCCAAGGTCAAATTAAAAAATGGGGAAAGATGCCATATGGGCATGCCAGGAGTCAGGCTGACATCCAGTAAGACACCAGACACCTTTGTGCCTCATACCACAGTGATGACCCACACAACGTCTGAGCCAGCATGGTGTAGTGGTGAAGAGCAGTGGACTCTAATCTGGAGAACTGGGTTTTATTCCCCACTCCTCCTCCACACAAAGCCTACTGGGTGACCTTGGGCCAATCACCGTTCTCTCAGAACTATCTCAGCCTCACCTACCTCACAAGATGACTGTTGTGGGGAGAGAAAAGGAAGGCAATTTTAAGTCACTTTGAGACGCCTTCAGGTAGAGAAAAGCGGGGTATAAAAACCAACCCTTCTTTGACTTCCATAAACAGGAGCAAGGAATTCAGAGTCACACACAGACCTCTTTCCTTCCCATTGATATGCTGGCCTTCCTGCTTGGCGCTCAAAACAGTACACAGCTATGGGGTTATTCAATTAGTTTTTCTCATAACAACCCCGTGATGTGGCGGGGCAGAGGGAGCGACGGGGCCAAGGACACCTCCTCAACCTTCATGGGCCAAGTTGCGACTCACACCTAGCTCTCTCGGTTCCAAATACAGCACTCTGAGCCCTGCACCACACTGGCTCTGAGCAGAACCAAATAAATTCAGAGGCCATAGATCCTGCACTGACTGTAAGCGTAAGGAGATAGGGTGGTAGGAGGGTAGGAGCGACCTACAAGGGAATACAAGGCATGAAAGAAGCTGGCCCCTTCCATGTTTAGAAACGGCGGCCTTCAAGCCACAGCATCTGTTCAGACATGGGGAGGGGCGAGGTAAGAGTCACCCTGCCTGCGATATCTGACTGGCAACTGTCGGCAGGCAGGGTGCCATAGTGGGCAGTGGGACCTAACACTGCCACTCTCATCAGGCTGATCGAGGGTGGTGGGGTCAAGAATGCCACCTTCTGCCGCCAGATTTTCCCAAGACCCTCCCAAGCCCGTGGATCAGCACTGCTTAAATCAGCCATTCAGTCCGTCATGTCACTATCTCTGGCTGAGGATTCGTGCCTTGACCAAAAATCATGTGCCCAGAAGTTGCCTGTCTGAAGAGCCCAGGTTCCTGTGGAAGAGAACATGCAGGCCTTTCCTAGTTCAATCCTTTACACTGTACGCTAACAAGATCTCAGGGTTAGGACCCCACCTCCCGGAGAGCTGTTGCCAGTAGGAGAAGTAAAAACAGAGCTCGATGGACCAACAGTCTGACTCAGTGTCTGGGGCAGTATCAACGTGAGCAGCCCAAAACAGACATATGTGACGGTGCCACTGAAGCCACGCCAAACTGGCACAGGCTACCCGGGAGATTCAGACAGAAAGGATTTTTACAGTGAAAGGCCGGGGGGGGGGGGGAATGGGGAGGGCTCCACTTCCTTTGAAACGCACAGCAGCACGAGGCACGGGCAAATGTATTTTAAGCTTATTTTTAGAACAAAGTTTGAATCCAGGGGCACCTTCAAGACCGACAAAGGTTAATTCTGGGTAGAAGCTTAACTTCGTTGGCCTCAAAGGTGCCACTGGACTCATTTTGTTCTGCTGCTTCAGGTTACCAAACTGAAGCTTATTTTTTTAAATCCTGGTTTGTACGTTTTACATACTTAAATCTATATATTCTAAACTTCCTGTCTGTACGATTTTTCAGAATTATTATTGTAACTGGCCTTGGGTCCTTCGGGGAGGGAGATGGGATAGAAATGCTTTAATGACCGACCAACCTGTGACGAAAGACAGACAGACTGTGTGGGAGTTAGTTGTACCACACGGAGCATCAGAGTATTTAGGTGACAATGGAGCAGACGGCACACCTGTGCAAGAGTCATCTCTTCGGAGGCCCTGTTTTGGTTGCCCCCGCCCCCAACCTGAGGCTAGATGGGTGGCTTCCTCAGATACAGCACCACAGCTTTAGGGCTCCCTCCCCAGGGAGGTGCGCCTGTTGTTCTCTAGCAGTGGGTGAAGACTTGGTTTCGTTTGGCATGCCCCAACAACAGTTATTGGCCCTTCTCTGTCACTGATTGCTATGCGTCTTCATTGAATTATTTCGTCATTTTAAATCTCGTTTCTAATGGCCAACTGTTTTAATGTTTTCTATGTGTGCCGCCTTGGGGATCCCGATCGGGTGGAAAGGCGGCATAAAGATGTTCTAAATAAATAAGCAAATCTTGTGGCACAGCCCTACCTCTCTGGCAATGCTCATGGGTCCAACAGCGCTCAATGAAAATGCCGTTGATGACGGTAGCCGGGCAGCTGCTTTTCCCCTGCACCACTCCGGGGCACACGTCTCCACACTCCTCCTTGTCATCCTTGTTGGACTTAATGTAGTTGTCTTCGGCGGAATCCAGAATCCGAGACCAGTCGATGGTGGACAAATAGCAGAGCGCATCATTCTTCTCGATCCTCACTGCACCGCGGGTGATGTTCATCAGGCTGTAGAGGCCAATCTCCTTCAAGTGAAACATCTCAAAGATGACGAAGGCGTAGTTGAAGAAGAGGTGAGTCCCTCGGATCACAGTCAAATTGGGGAACAGGTTCTTTAGGCTCTCCAGGCCGTAGACCCGGAAGAGCAGCAAGTAGTCTGTGATCATGGTCAGTTTTGGGAAGCTGAGATCCCGGAAGTCCGCAGTCTTGGTTTTGAACATCAGCAAGATCTGCAAGTGTCCCTCTATTACAGTACAGTTTTCAAGCAAGCTGAACTTGGTCATGTTGTTCCGGATGTCAATGCTGTTACAAACTGGAAGAGAAGCAGAAACAACAGAAAGAGTTTTAAAGAAAACACAACATACATATTCTCCAACCAGCAAACATCCCGTTGAACTGGAAACCTCATTTAGCAAAGGCCTGTTTATAAGGCAAGTTACTCCAAGAAAGCCAAGGCTGACGCCAGCTAAAAGCAACAAACCCTGTCCCCCAATGACACCTGCCCATTTTGACTGTGTACCAAGCAGACCCTACTTGGGGAGGCAGAGCTTAAAATCCATGGAACGCAGGGCAGGAGTAGATGCGAGGGTAACAACTCACTAGGCCTACTCAGGTGTTCAAGCAGAGCTGAGCTGAGCTAATGTCCCAAATGACATTCCTCTCCTTGATCACATAAAATAGTTCTTCAGGGATGCTTACTGCCCTTGAAAGAGTTTTTTCAGGAAATTCGGCCCTTGCTTCTTAGGCCTACTTCTCCCCAAGGCACTAAAGATCCATATGGGCAGTACCACTTCAGGCTGTGGGCTAGGGCTCCCATGACAGAATGCTCCTCAAGACCAAGAAATCTCCAGCAGACAGAAAAGTGCCATGGCACGGAAAAGACTAGGGAAGAACCCTTATCTTCCACACTTAGCTCCTCCAAGCCAGGCATTTTTAATTTGTGTATCAGCAAGTCATTGAAGAAGTCTGAAGTAGGACGAACACCCTGCTTCATCGACATCCGAGTCTTATGCAGGTCAGTATGGTTCAAATGAAGAAAACACACACACACACACACACACACACACACGGGGTTTGGGATCTTGCGGAAGGAGGACAAAAGTTTTTAAAGCATTAAGAGTCCAGTTTGTTTGAGGTTGACCTTTGCCAGTGAATAGCCAAGCAGGTGATTTTCTATTACATCCACACCCTCACCCCCACTCCATCCCATAACAAGTATTCAAGAATACATTGCCAAAAAAAAAAAAGTTCATTAATTCCATGAACTGCTGCCATCATGCAAAACCCACTCACAGGCAAGAGGCACAAAAACAGAGGATTTGAGTCCATTCAGCAATTTCAAAATTTAAATCTGCTCCTAAATTCAATTTTGCCTATATGAATAGTTTAAACTAAAGGGACTTCTGTGGGTGACGGGGTGGGACACAGGGCAGCCTCTCCTGCCTGTGAGACTGTTGTCTGTCCTACATGACAGGGACCCACTATTGACTTTCCCCCTGGACCCACAACAAGACACAAAAATGATGGCCTTTTGCAATGCGTAAAGACAGGCTCTTATTCTTCCACTCCTTTCTTTTTATGCAGAAAAGCAGCCTTAAGTTCTGCAGGTATGACCATGGCTCAGCCGCAAGAGATTATATGTATGGACAGGGGTCATTTCGTAGAAAAAAAGGTGCAGGAGCTCATTAGCATAACTCATTCGCATAACTTATTTGCATATGCCACACCCCCTGACATCACTGGAAGTGTATCAGAGGGCAACACCCACTGCTCAGGCTCCACTGGACTGTTTTGGATTGCTAGCTATGGGGGGAACGTGCAGATCTGCCCTCACAGAGGAGGGAGAGCTTGTACCTGAAGGCGGGCCGGGGGGGGCCCTCTGCAACTTACCTGGCTGCTTCTTGCTCCTCATGGCCCGACTAAGGGCTACTGGGAGCAGGGGGCAGCGCTTGTTGCATGTGCCCGCCCCCTGGGCTCCTTACTGCCCGAGCTCCACTCCTGTGCGCTCCCGCAGGAAACGACCCCTGTGTATGGACCTTAACATGTCTGTATTAAATCCAGATCTCATTTTAAACCAGATTACGTTTCTACTTTAAAAAAATAATCTGAAACCAGTCTGTCCGCGATCTGTCTAGTCAACGGATGTCTGACACAGGTAATGGTCCACGCTACCCACGGCTCAAACACATCCCAGATCATGAAGGTCTTCTGCTCCACTCTCAGCTATGTACAACCAGCTACCAAATTAAATTCATCACTACAAACATTTCTGTTATTTCACAGCTGCCCCAGGCAGCACAGAGCAAAAGGCCCTGCAGATGCTCTGTTTCACTGCTTTCAAGGCTTTCTCCCTGCACCCACACCAGGCCATCCTCACACAGCCACACGCACACCATGCCACACCACAACAAGCACTGCTACTAGTGTCTAATGACGAGCGAGTGAGCTAGGAGTGCAAACAATCTTCTCCAGCTTGGGGGGCGGGGAGTAAACAGCCTACAAGTGTTGGATTTTATAAGATTCCTGTGCAATTCCTCCCTGATACACTCGGCAAGGTACTACAAAGGATCCCCCTTCAACTGCACTGAGTCAGCTGACAAGAGCATCTTCCACATAGGGCCAGGCCACCGTGCTGCTGGGGCTGTCAATAATCCTGAGAGGCCATGAGCCTCCTACATGACAGGGACCCATAGTTTCCTTGCCCCAGTCCCTCAGCAGCAGTCATGCTACCCGCCTCACCAGAACACTAGGGTAGTGATATGCCTTTCCCCTTATATCTCCACAACAAAAGGTGCAGGTACAGATATCAGACTTCCAGTATTCAAACTAGGTTTAATAAAAATAATGACACATGACATTTCTCTATCCAGCAGAACTGAGCAAAGAAAAACGAACCCTCCTAACCCTGTTCCAGATTTGTCCCTAAAAGATGTTAAAATAAGGATAGCCGCTTTCTCCTTGGAGGTACAGCACCTCAGAAAAGTTCTGCTGCCTCAGTTTGCATGGCTGGGCTTTCCCTCATTATTCAACCACACATAGTACTGATGGAGTCTTGATATAAAAGCGAGCCCCTTGAAGAGGCTTGCACTAAGAGAGACCTTCCTTCTTGTGCCCTGGTCATTTATAACTTCTATATGGGGTCCCTTCCTCCATTAGGATCAGAGCACTTCTTCTTGGCTAAGAGGAAGAAACCCCATCAACCCAGGTCTCTACCCCCTGGGAGCAACACTCTGCCTGAGTTGTCAATGATACACCTTTCCTCTCCCTTGACCAGCTCCACTAGCATGTGCCTGGGTTGACTGCTCTAAGGCTGGGGGGAATGACTCACCTTGCCAGTCTTTTCCCTGGGGTATCAACTAACCCTGAGATAAGTGCACTGCTTCCTCACAGCAGCCCTGTAATGTAGATCCAATCACAGTAAACTTTTGAGTAGAAATTCTGGGGTGCATTGCACTTCTTTACAGCACATATAAAGCAAACACAGTGAACTCAAGGAAGGCATGCACATGCACTTATGGGGCCATGAAATGGCTTACAGACAGGACCACACCTAAAGAGATGTAAACTGCAGCCATGGGGCATGAGGTCCCGCTAAGGGCACTTTGAGACCAAGGATTCAGAGTGCTGGGTGCGCTCTGCTGCTACCTGTACAAACCCCTTCCCCCTGCACCCGACCAAAAAAGTCGATCAGAGTGTCACCACAACTGAGCACTGCCCATGAGACTGCCTGCAGCCTGTCTGCCAGTCATGCTCGCAAAGGCACTGGCTTTGGTCAGTTTTATTCATGCAGCTGAGTCCAAAGGACAAGTCCACAGAATGCAAGAAATGCCCTTTGAGCTTCTCTCCTCCCTGCCCGTGATGCTGGGGGGAGGGTGTCACTCGTTCTACACTTAACCGTTGGAATCAGCAGTTGTCACACCTAGGTCAGGACAGACCAGACTTGCTGCTCAATTTCAGCACTGCTCTTGGATGGATTTTGCTGCGTGACCAGGAGTGAACAGACTCGCCACATTCCCTCTGGAATAATGTCACATCCTGGAGTTCTTTATCTTTGACTTGCTACACGTGGCTTGCCTAACTTGCCGGAGGCTCTTGTGCGTGCTCTTCTAACATGGCAGCCCATACAAGATACCACACTTTTGGCCAAGGGTGCAGATTAACACTCCTTCCAAACTTATGACAAGCTGCCCACACTTGAGCTTCAGCCAATTAACCTAAATACCACCACCACCACCCAGAATAATGTTCAAAGCTGAACCTCAAGCTTTCAGTTTCTGAAAGTTTGTGCTCAACGGGTGTGCACATTATTTATGCTAAGCACCACTATCAGTTTGGCGTCTAGTACACATCAAAACCGCCACTACCAAACACGAGGCGTTAGCAAACCCTACGTCACAGTAGCTCAAATCTGGTCTTACTCAAAGCAGTATAGATATCACTGCTAATCACCGACCCACTTTCAGGGTGGGTTGAGGTAAATGCAGTTCAAAACCATAATTCTGTGGTGTTGCCTGCGGTTATAATCATTCTGCACAGTGGAAACCGACCTGGTTATATAGTGCGTGAGCTCTGAAGCAGCTAAAGCCTGCAGCTGGGCTCAGGTCTGGCGTGCCTCCCAGCATGAAAAGCAATCCGGAGGGAGGCTCCCAATGAGCTCTCTTGCAGCCAAAGTGCCTCCTGTCTGACACTTGGAAAGCCCAGCCAGGAGGCCACTGGATAGGCCCCACTTCGGAGGTCTCTTGGGAGGGCTTGAAAACCCGTATTTTTCAAAAGGCTTTGGGTCAAATTTGGTTTACTTTGGAGGACAATTAATAGTGGTTATGCTGTATAATAAGGATAATGTTGTTTGTGGATATTTAGTCTGAGGGATTTGCGGATTGTTTTTACATGCTTCATAGGAGTCTTATTTTAAATATTTATTTATTTATTGTTTAGAATTTTAGGCCACCCTTCCCTACAAGCAGGGCTCAGGGCGGCTTACAACAGAATAAAAGCACAATGATCCAAATTAAATTAAACCAGCGTAAAAATACAGCACATAGACATACGTAAAAAGCAGTTCCAAGGTGGCAAATAATTTGAATAGAAAATTGAACGACCCAGAGCCTCCAAGGGGGCAAGTAGTATAATTCATTCTCTGATGTGAGCTGCTTTGGTAATAGGTGGTAAACACAAATACAACCCAGGCACTTAGTACCGAAATCCAAGTGACATTGTTCCTGCCTAGTGGGCTAAGTAAGGGTAGAATGCTAGCAGTAGAATCTTATGCAGAGTTCTGCCAATTGGAGCCCATTCGTTCCCATGGGCTTTGAC